CTCAGTATTACAGTGGGGTTTTTGGCCAATACAAGTTCTGTATGCATAAATATTAAAAAAAAAAAAAAAGGATTCGGACCAATAAGTTTGATTTTGAGAGGGTATCTCCAAAGCAGTCAAAGAACTAAAGAAATAAAGTGGAAAGGGAAAATAAATCAAAGACGTAAAGATAAAATAAGGTCAAGAATGGAAGAGGGTGGTCATCATCTCTCCTAGAACTTGGGGCTAGAATCAGAGGGAGAAAGTGATGGGTAGCCTTCCAGCAGTGCGTGGCCTGTGAACCAGCTGAAACAATGCAAAGTTAGGGATGGGACCTTAGCTTTTCCAAGGCCCATCACTTTGGTCAGATTCTCAAAGGAGCCTAAAACCCAACTATGTTGCAGATAAGGAAGCATGGGGGGGAAAATTCCACAAAAAAGGAATATGGGACATTTGGTGGGTGAGGTTTTCATCATACATGCAGGTTATGCCTCTATCACCCTGCCAGACATTTATCACTCCACAATGTCACACTAGCCCTATGGCTTTTATTAACACTTCTACTTTTATGGGGGAGAAAGTCAAAGCTCAGGAATGCAGGTTTCCTACCTGTATCACACAGAAGTAACAGTTCAAGGGTATGGCCTCAACTTTGTCAGACTCAGCTGTTTCTCCTTTCCTCCCACACAATCAATGCAATTTATCCCACCAGTTTTGGGGGGATGTATTTTAATTTTGGTACCTAAAAAATAAGAGCAATCATCAGAATAAGAAGATACAGCCTGGGCCAGATGAGCTACACTAAAGTTGCTGCTCAAGACCAATAGAATGTACCTTATGAGAAGTTTTTACAAATGAAGCATAAACTTGCCAATAACTATACCCCACACCTCCTGGTGAAAGGGAAAAGGTACTTTTTCTACCCAAAAGGTAATTCAAAGGGATTAATTCTCTCCATAATGGGTAAGAGGGTATTTTAAACTTTTGGGCAATATATACTTTGAAACCACTCTTAGATCCCTGATGCAGCGAGACAATACTAACACAAAGCTCTTAAGGCCATAGATCACCTCATTCCTGCCCTGTTATATCTGACCTCCCATCAGACTAAGGCCTACATGAGGGAGATTGGCAGTATAACGCAGCTTTAAGAACACAGCTTAAAAGAGCTGATCTGTGTGAAGGCTAAGAGGAATGCTTAACACAGAGTATGTAAATATAGGTAGTAGCTTTTATTATGGAGTAGAGGGCCAGGAGCCAACACTCCTCATGGCCCATGCCACCCATTAATCTGATAGATGCAGGAATAGCTACAGCTACTTTCTCATAGAACAAGGGTAAACTTCATTGATTCCGATCCCCAGAACAGCTAAAAGTATTCATGACTCACTCTGGGGAAGGGAGTTTATGAACTTGAATATGAGCAGATAGAAACATCATGAACTCTGTTCACAAAAAAGCAAAATCACAACAGTGTCACCCATGAGAAGTTTATTGTGCCTTCAAGACACTACAGTGTACACTCTGCTCCCAGAGAAGAGCCTTTCAGGGACATGGAACCATTTTCCAGGTGAGTTGATCATCAGGGACACGGAACCATTTTCCAGGTGAGTTGTTCATTTGTCATTTTCGTAGGTGGCTGGATTCTTCCTCTTGGATTTCTCAAACTCTTCAGTCCCCCATGTGTAGACAAGGTAAAATCCTATAAAAGCTGTAAAAGTCAAAATGAGTCAGCAGTGAGTATATTTAAAGCTCAGGATTCTGCCCTCCTGTATCTGGTTGTCAAGAAACTACTTTTAAACCACATGACCAAGAAAGGTTACATTATACACTTATCCTACAGGTCACCAAAATGGTTTAACTTCCTGGACCAGCCAAGAAATTTGGTCTCCAAAACTTCGTTTCCCCCGTTAAACATTTTTAAATACTTTAATGATAACACAAAAGTCACATAACATGAACCTCATCGCTTAACCATTAAAATGCGGCTCAGTGGTCTGTAGCACATTCCCAATGCCGTAAAACTGTTACCCGATCTGCTGCCCAGTGAACACAAAACAGTTCGTCGTTCGTCAAGAAGTGAGTAAAGATGACTCACAGGGAGATGTTGGAGTCACACGACTGACCTTGGGCCAGTCATTTAAGTTCTGTGACTCAGATTCCACATCTGAAGCAGGGGAAATGACAGCACTAGCTCAAGGGCCGTCAGGAATATTCAGCGAGAAAACGGGTGGTTGCAGAGACCGCCCGCTGCCCAGTGCCTACTGCGGCGGGGAGTCCCGCCCGCCTGCCCAGCCACGGCACTCACGCGGGACCACGCGCAGGATGCAGGCCTGAGTGCGGCGCAGCACGTTGGGGATGCCCTTGCTGAAGTAGTGCGGGAAGGCGCGCTGCTCGAAGGGCGACAAGCTGTAGGAGATGACATGCCGCATCCGCGTCAGATGCCCGAACTGGCGGCCCATGGTCGCGGCGGTGCCTACAGGACCAAGAGCACCTGTCACCGCTCAGCCCAGCCCCCGCCGCCTCCAACCCGAAAGACCCTCCCAGCGCTCCTCCAAAGGCCCGACCCCCAACCTCCCAGTGGCCACTCTGACTGCGTGACCGGACCCCACTCCCGCACCGGGGTCACCTCGCCCTCCACAATCGCGGGATCCAGCGGCCTCCGTCGGGCACTTCCGGTAGAACCGGAAGCCGCGCTAGGCGGCCATGAAGTCACTTCCGGGGCACACCATTTTCCTGTGGTGGCCAGGGGAGGGGGCCGTTGCCCCTCGTTCCGGGGAAGAGTGCCCGACCCGGTGACCCTGCGGGTGGGCGGGGCCTGGCGACAGCCTCTGCGACTGAGCGGGATTTGGGGCCCCGGGGCGACCCCCGAGGCCCTCATTCTCAGCCCTCAGTTTCCCGCATTCGGTGGAGCCACAGGAAGTAGTCGGTGCCGAGGGTGGCATAGAGGTGAAGTGACAGCGGCCCCCCTGCCTTGGAGGACCGCGCTGGCGGGGCGCTTAGGGGCTGGCGCGTTCTCTCATGGCGGAGAGCTCCCCTGAAGCCTGAGGAGGGGCCGCCGCGCGGTAGCCCGACGCAAGGTCCTGTACCATCTGGTCCAGCGGCTGGAAGCGGGCACGGTTTTTTTCCCAAACCGTCAGCGACCCCAGGACCAAAATCCGGGGCGCTGACCTGGGGCTTCTCCTGGCAGCCGCGGCCTTAGCCTCCACGGGCACGATCTCCAAGAGAGAATGCTAACCCTCCCTCAAACTCAGCCACAGTGTGATTGCACGCAGTTGCCGAGCGGCTGGAAGTGGTGTTTGGGAGGGGAGGAAGGCGCCGCCCCGCCCCGCAGATGGTTTGACCTGGGGTGGGGATGGTCATGGTGCTCGCGATTCTCCATTCCGCTGCCGAGGTGCGAAACATGACTTCTGAGGCTTCACGGTGTTTTCGCAAGTGCTTTCTACTTGAGGTTGCCGCTGGCTGCTGGTTTATACCCGATGCAGAGTGTGTGGAAATACCCTGCTCTTGGCGTAGCTGCCTGCCTGTAATTTGGGGGTACCCTGTCTCTGTTGGGTGTGTCTATAACCCTGCTTCCTAGCCATGGGCAAGTGAGGCTTGGCGGGCAATGAATTTAAGTCTTGCAAACATAACTCAGTTTTATCAACCGAGGTACTGCACAAGCTGGTTCTGTATCTTGTGTGAGTTGACTTTCCTCCGTCAAATAGTGCCCTTCTGGGTGATGGCACTGGATGTCCCCTCACTTTGTCTCATTTTTCTAAAGCATAATATTTAGCCTAGTCTCAGCTGCAAGGCAACAATATAAATTCTTACAAGAACAAAAATACCCTAGTGAGTTCTACCACTAGTTCTATTAATGAGTCTACCACTAGTCATGTGACTAATTGGGAAAAATTCCCATTTTCTAATACCTGCCAACATCTCAGAAACTTTCATCTAAAATAGGTATAAATGTATGTGCAAAGACATCAAGTTATATTCTAAAATAGGTTAAAGGTGGTGACTTTTTTTTAAAAAAAATAATATAATAGTTTATTTTTTACACCATTTTGTGCGTTTTTCCATCTCAGTTTTTTTTTTTTTTAAGATTTATTTATTTGTACATACAGAACTGGGGTACAGGCCAGAGGCTCAGGGGCGGTGAGAGGCTTCACCAGAGACAGTGGGGAACAGAACAGGCAGATCGACAAGGTACACTGCTGAGGGGAGCAGCGGGCGGGTCAGGAGAGGTCTGCCACGCCATGTGGTCTCCTCCGGGGCAGGCGGGAATCGAACTCATGCGGAAGTGGCTTTAGCTTCTCAGTGCAGTGCTTTAACCCGCTGCGCCACCAGGGAGGGCCCCATCTCAGTTTTAATCCCCGTGGGTTTCCCATCACCAAATCACCCGTATGCAGGGTGGTGACGTTTTTAAAGCATATTGCAATATTCCACCTGGCAACTTAACAGTTCCCTGCCCTCTGGGATCTCAATGCCAATTGTGACTCTCTTCCTACTCCAAATTAGCATGCAGTAAATAATTATTCTAACCACCTGAAAGTGGGAGAAGTGGCTGAGGTTGAAGTCAGAGGAAGAGTAAACCTAATACGGTAAATTGCATACAACAGATCTGTGCATCATCATGAATAATTAGTTTTTCCACTGGCCTTGAAAGTTTGAGCAAACACTCAGAACATTTTAACAATCCTAATCCCTCCCAAAGAGTGGGTGGTTTTATTTGAAGATCATTCCTCAGTTTTTCTTAGCTGATCACCATATAGCTTGTTCATTTCAAAGCTTTAAAAAAATGCCAGGAAAGGGAAGAGAGAAAAGCTAAATAACCCAATAAGTTTGTACCTAATGAGGACAAATTGGATAACTAGGTTTTTGTCAGCTGTGTGATATACAGCTGATAAAAAGTTCAGCTAGGTATCCTTGAGGTCTGATTACAGAGTGGCCCTATTCTACCCACACCTAACTTTTATTTAAGAGATTAAACAGGGCACTTCCTGGCTTTGAGGAAGAAGACTGCCATGGGGAAATGTGGTCCTTGCTAGTTCTTCCAAGCCATGGCATCTCCCAGCAAATTCTTTATTTGGTTTTACTGTTTTGCCTGGCTTTGTTTTTCCATTAGCCTTGGTTCACAGGCTTCTAGGAGAGATGCTCATCTTAATTCTGAGTTGGAATCTGGAGCCCAACCTTGGTCCCTGCTACAGCCTCCAGATGGGAAAGGCAGATCTGGTCTCCTTTCTCCTCTCTTCAAGGTTCTGTATGATGGGCAAGGTGGAGCCCCCAGGCTCCAGCCTGACTCCAGAGCTTTGCGCTACATGAAGAGACTCTATAAGGCATATGCTACCAAGGAGGGGATTCCTAAATCCAACAGAAGTCACCTCTACAACACTGTTCGGCTCTTCACCCCCTGTGCCCAGCAGAAGCAGTCTTCTGGGGACCAGGTGACAGGTGTGTAGGAGCAAATTGCTTAATGGGTGGAGGGACGACCTGGAGCTTTTTGCATTTCAGTTAGGAGCTGGGCCTTACTTCTTAAATTGCATTTTACTTGGTGTTACTCAGTATCCACATGGAAACAAATCTGGTGCTCGATTTTATCCTTCCTATTGCTGTTGTGGGTTAAGATGGGCTAAAATGCTAGAACTTTCAAACTGGAGAGCCTGAGTGGCTCCAAAGGCGAGGAGAAAGGAGCTGCTGAGCTCCTCATCTTGCCCAAGGTTATAAAATCCAGACTGGATTTTGACTTCCAGTTGTATTTTTTCCAGTCTACCAGTGCTGAGCTGAGCTGGATATGTGCCTGCAATGTCTCTTAGCTGTTGGTGTGATTTTTTCAACAGGATGTTTTCCCCTGGTTGGTGCTTTCTTTGAGAGGAAAGCTTAAGTTCCATTTGGAACAGGAGGTCCTCACAAGAACAACGTGTTAGTCAATAATTTGAAAAGCTCAGTGTTGTGTGAAAGGAGTCGTACTTTAAAAAAATACAGTCACGAGTTTGTGATTTAAAACCATTCTAATCAAACGGTCCGGTCCATTGTGGCTGTTTACAGCCTTTCTTCCTTGATGTCCTATTTGATTGTAGTGGCTTTTTCCAGACTCCAGTTGTTGTCAATCTCAAGTGCTTCAAATTAACCTGACAGTTTAGTTTTCTTTATTGACTCAATAGCCTTAGACTATTGTCTTAACAAGCCTGTTAAAGTATCTTTTATTACAGTTTTCCTTGGAGAGACAAGCCAAGAGAAAACTCCTGCCTTCTCTGTCCCCTCTTATGTTTGGCTCATTCTAAAACATTAAATTGTAAGGATTCCGTGTTGCTTTAATTTACTGCCAGAACGGTGTGACTTTAGGGTGATAAAATATCCAGTTATACTTGCCAGGTATTAGTTATGGTACATTTACCTTCTCCTCACAGCAGCCCTCCCTCCTTTTTTATGGCTCGAGGAAGGGGGTGGCAGGGAGAAGGGAGAAAGCATACCAGGGAGTACTAGCTCCTTGACATTAGTACCAAGTACCCATCCGATTATGTTTGATTTGTGGTCGTGCACTACCAGTAGATTGTTTTTCTTCTCAGGAGCCCTTTCATCAGTGGACCTGCTGTTTAGCCTGGATCGTGTCACTGCTGTTGAACACTTGCTCAAGTCAGTCTTGCTATACACTTTCAACAACTCCGTGTCACTCCCCTCTGCTGTTAAATGTTTGTGCAACTTGGTGATAAAAGAGTCAGAATTTTCTAACAAGTCTCTCCCCAGAGCTCCATACTCACTCACTTTTAACTCCCAGTTTGAATTTAGAAAGAAACACAAATGGGTTGAGATTGACGTGACCACTCTCCTTCAGCCTTTAGTTGCCTCCAACAAGAGAAGTATTCACATGTCTGTAGATTTTACCTGCGTGAAAGACCAGCTTCAGCGGCCTTCTGCCCAGGACCGTCCGTTTAACTTGACTCTTCCGACACCCCCTTCCCTGCTTTTATATCTGAACGACACAAGTGCCCAGGCGTATCATAGGTGGTATTCTCTCCACTATAAAAGGAGACCCTCACAGTGTCCTCACCGGAAGAGAGTTCTGCCTGCCTATTCCAAGGAAGACGGGACTTCTGAGGGTGTAAGATCTTCGCGTCACCGGAGAGATCAGCAGACTGTCAGCTCTGACTTGAAAAAGCCTCTGGTTCCAGCTTCTTTCAATCTGAGTGAATACTTTAAACAGTTTCTCTTTCCTCAAAATGAGTGTGAGCTGCATGACTTCAGATTGAGCTTTAGTCAGCTGAAGTGGGACAACTGGATTGTGGCCCCTCACAGGTACAACCCTCGGTACTGTAAAGGGGACTGTCCCCGGGCAGTGGGGCATCGGTATGGCTCTCCAGTTCACACTGTGGTGCAGAACATCATCTATGAAAAGCTCGATTCCTCAGTGCCAAAACCATCCTGTGTACCTGCCAAGTACAGCCCCTTGAGTGTTCTGACCATTGAGCCCGACGGCTCAATCGCTTATAAAGAATATGAAGATATGATAGCCACCAAGTGCACCTGTCGTTAAGAGGGTCCACTAAACGATGACCTTGAACCTCCGGGGCAGAGCGAATGCCATGTTCCTGCCTATGTGTTCAAGAGAAAGTGTTGGGGCATGTGTTGTATTTGAGCGCCTCTATGTCCTCTGTCACTGTAAAGGGTATACCATCGGCCTTTTTTTATTTCCAGTGCAAGTGAAATGTGTTTATTTAGGAGAGCTTTAACTTTTTTTTCCCTGAGTGATTTTTTTCTTTTCTTTTCATGGAAGTCTTGTTTTTGATGTGAGGGGGGAAAAATAACAAATCTTGGATGGCACAACTAAATCAATGCTGTTGTTATTTAATGGATGAATAAATTCTTCGCAGTGGCAGTTCTGTGTATGGAAGTGTGTGTTTTAGTAACAATTGCTTTTAAATGGGCATTAGGAGGGAAAGGTAGTCTAAGCTGAACAACTTTTTTACAGAAAAACAAAGGTGACTTTCTCTACTTTAATTCTATGAAGATCCACTAGATTTAAAAGTACACAGTGTAACCTATTTTGTGTTGGGGTGTTCGTTCCCTGTAGACAGCTAGTCTAAACCAGTTGACTCACATAAAGAAATGTAACATTGGCCCCATTTATGTACAGGAAATTGCCATGCAGATTTTTCCAAGAAAATAAAATGTTCAAGATTTAACAATGTATTTTCTTTATATATTTAAAACTTCTGACCCCGTGGAAGGAAGTCAAGGAGCACTTTTGCCCCTTTGTTTTCCTTTTTTAATTTGTGCCAGTCTCTCTCGGCTCTCAGCTCTCCTCACCACACCCCATGGATTTCTTTCCAGTGGATTTAAGACTGCTCCACTGAAATTAACCGCCAGTGACTAGGTTCTGTAACAGAGGGGGCCTTGTTGGCTCTGAGGGCTTTTATGTGAGTTGTCAATAAATCTTTTACCTTGACAGAGCCCTGGGGACACAGAGTTAGGAAGGATGCAGTGATTTCCTGTTGCAGAGTTGTTAAAACTCAGATCTACAAAAAGTAACTCCTAGATGCAAAAAGTACTTTTCATTGTTGTAAATGACCTTTTGTTTAGCCAGCTTTATTTGATGGAGTTTATTATTTACCTGTTTAAAGTGTACGATTCAATATTTTTTAGTGTATTGCCCTTCTCATCTCTTTCCCAGCCCTAAACAGCAAATCTTTTTCTAAATATTTCCCTTTAATGGACTTTGAAGTGAATGGAATCACATAATAGGTGCTTTGTTTAGTTAAAAGATTTATTTGTATGCAGAAGAACTGGGGTATAGACCAGAGGTGTGGGGTATGGGTGGGGTAAAAGGATTCACCAGAGACAGAGTGGGGAGCAAACAGGGGTAGATTAACTGAAACACACTGCTGAGGGGAGCAGCAGGCCAGACAGGAGAGGTCCGCTGTGCCATGTGGGTCAGCTTCTTGCTGGGGATGTGGTAGCATGCATCAATTCCATTTTAATTACCTACTAATAATCCATGTGTGCCTGTACCACATTTTGTGTATCCCATCATTTGTTGGACATTTTGGTTGTTTCTGACTTTGTACTGTTATGCATAATGCTAATATAAATCTTCATATATAAGTTTTTGTGTACAAGTTTTTAATGAACATGTTTTTGTTTCTTTTGCTATAAACTTGTAGCATCTCGGGCCATGTGATTTGGGCTTTTTTTAGGAACTATTAGACTGCTTCCCAAAGCAAATTACCTAGTTCACATTCCCTCAAGTAGTCCCTGAGTGCTTCTATACCTGCTGTGCCACCAGGGAGGGGCAGGGAGGGCTACTATAATTTTTTTTTTAAGATTTATTTTTTAATCATTTATGCTTACAAAAGCTGGAGTGTAGGCCAGAGTGTGGGAGGGTGAGAGGATTCACCAGAGACAGAGCAGGGAACAGAACAGGTGGATCAAATGAAATACACCGCTGAGGGGAACAGCAATTAGGTGAGACAGGAGCTGTCTGTTGCGCCATATGGGTCATCTCCCTGGCTTGGGATCGAACTCTTGCTGCAGTGATTGCTGATAGCTACATTGTGCTGAGACCTAACCCCTTGCGCCACCAGGGAGGTCCCATCCATCCATTTTCATAGACACTTGGGTTGTTTCTACTGTTTGGCGCTTTTGAATAACAGTGCAACCAATGTTATGCAGATATTTGTAAAAGTCTCTACTTTCACTACTTTTAGGCTGATGACTAGAATTTGAACTGCTAGAGTATATAGAATTCTATGTTTAATTTACTGAGGAGCTGTCCTGTTTCCTAAAACAACTGCACCATTTTACAGTTCTACCAACAATGCACTGAGATTCCAATTTCTCCACACTGTTACCAATACTCATTATTTTCTATGGATTTAAAATATATATAACCATCCTAACGGGTGTGAAGTAGTAGCTCACTGTAGATTGATTTGCCTTTCCCTAATGATTAATTATATAAACCTTTTTTATGTGCTTATTTAACATTTATATATTTTTCTTGGAAAATGCCTGCCCTTTCCTTCTTTTTTAATTGGGAGCATTTATCATTTTATAATTGGGTTGTAAAATCTTTTTGTGTATTGTGGATTTAGTCCCTAATCACATAAGATTTACAGATATTTTCTCCCATTCCAAGGGTTGTCATTTCACTTATCCAGACATTTTTAGCACAAAAGTTCTTCATTTGATTTAGCCTGATTTACCGATTTTTTTCCTCTGTTGCCTGGGCTTTTAGGGTCATATCCAAGAAATCATTACCAAGTCCCATGCCATGAAGATTTTCTGCTAAGAGTTCTATCATTTTAACTTTTATATTTAGGTCTCTAATCCACTTTGAGTTAATTTTTGTGTGTAGTGTGAGATAGAGGTTCGCCTTCCTCTTTTTTTTTTTTTTTTTAAAGATTTATTTATTTGTGCATCCAGAACTGGGGTACAGGGCCAGAGGGTCAGGGGCGGTGAGAGGCTTCACCAAAGACAGAGTGGGGAGCAGAACAGGCAGATCGATGAAGTACACTGCTGAGGGGAGCAGCGGGCGGGTCAGGAGAGGCCTGCCACACCATGTGGTCATCTCCGGGCAGGGGGGAATCGAACTCATGCTGAAGTGGCTTTAGCTTCTTAGTGCTGTGCTTTAACCTGCTGCGCCACCAAGGAGGGCCTCAACTTTTTTTTTTTGCATGTGGATGTATAATCTAGTTCTATTGCCATTTGTTAAGATACTTTTCCCCTATTGTTTTGGCATCCTTGAAAAATCACTTGAGTGTGTGTATGGCTTGTTTCTGGACTCTCCATTTTCTTCCATTGATTTATGTTTGTCTTTGTGCCAGTACCACACTGTCTTGAATATTGCTTTGAGTTAAGTTTTGAAATCAGATGCTTTTTTTTTCCTTTTATTTTTTTTCCAGCATCATTAGTTATTTTAGACCTTTTATAATTCCATATGAATTTTAGAATTGGCTTATTAATTTTTGCAAAGAAATCAGCTGAGATTTTTCGTAGGGATTGTGTTGAATCTGAAAATCAGTTTGGGGAGTAATGATCTTAACAATGTTAATTCTTGGCAACCATGAACACGGGGTTTTTATTTAAATCATTCATTTCTTTCAACAATGTGTAATTTTTAGTATAAATTTTGTACTTTTTAATGTTAAAATTTATATCTAAGTATTTCTGGTACTACTGTATATGGAATTATTTTCTGGTGCTATCTTGCATAAACATTACAAGCCTGCATATACTAACACAAATGCTGTATTTGCTCATGAATTTTATCTTTCAAACATTTTCCAGAAATGAGACTGAACTCAATGGAAAATTTTTTGTGGCCCAGATTCAAAATAACTTTGCCTTCTTGTTGTGTAACTTGAAGGAGTCATTCTTCTGTAACTGAGGCTCATATGATGATGAAATCAGAGATAAGTGGTTTTTCAAAGATTTATATCTTCCATTCTTAGGAGTAAAAAAATATCTGGAATGAAAAGGGCACAAGTAATGGTAGTAGTGTACAGAAATTATTTGAAGATAAATTTTCTTTCAATAAGATTACTTTCAAATGGAGCACATGAGGTATTTACCAACTTAAAGAATTCCTTGCAGTTAACCTTAGCTCACGTAGGAAAATTTTTAGGAAACAAAGGAATTTTGTTTTGTTGTTATTTGTAAGTTTTTTTTCATGACCTTGTTCAGTTTTTGAATACGTAATGTAGTCTGAAGGTTCTGAAAAGAAAACGAAAGGATAATTCTGATGGAACTTTATTTAGTATTAGAGTCAGTGCCAAATTAAGAGCAAAATGTTGTTCATCCTTATGATGAGTACTAATTTTTAAAACTTTCACATAGTGTTTTGATGCTGAATAATGATGGCTTCAAGAGTTGTAAGCTTGACTTTTGTTCTTATTTTTAGGATTTATTTGTAAATCTAGTTTCATTCACTGGACATTATTAATATTCAGGTCAGGGCTGATATATCTGTTAAATTTAAACTTCAGAGATACTCTTTTTTCACACAACTCAAGAGGATAGATATACTTGTATCCCAACCACGTCTTCCATATGAAACCTTCTTTGGTTTCTCTTTAAAAGCTGCCAGTTTGGAGAATAAGTGAGAAAGGACAACAGTGATTTAAATCTGGAAATTCAAGGATGAGGCTACATCTCCCTTAAATAGATGCATTCAACTTTGGTATTTAGTCCAGATGAGATAGGCGGTTACCTACTGTGAAGGGTGCCTTAAAATGGCAGGGAACAGGAGGCATGTCAGGAGCAGGTTTTACCTTTAGCTCTTAGTTTCCTGCTCTTTATCAGCTTAGATCAACTCCTGTGTTATGTTGAGTACTTTGTGTTTTACTAATCAGCTTCAAGGGCAGCAGCCACTGGTTTAGAGCTCAGTTTTAGACAGTCTACAGGAACAAGTTGTTTTTTCATGGGGTAAGGGACGAAGTATTCTTGGTAATATAAAGTGATAAAGTGTTCAGATTGAAGAACCTCGTTTATATAAAAAGTTTAGTGTCAATTTTAACATAATTTTGGAGGCATTGTAATTCATAAAATAATAAGGAAAATTAAAACATAACATTTTTTAGAGTGCATCAGTCCCCAAAGCATTTTAGAAATACATTGGCTGAATGGGTTGATAAAATAGAAAAGTATGTTGTGTTATCCACTAGCTATTCTCTGATTAAAAGGAATGATCAACATAACCAGGAGATTCATGTACTAAATCCTTTATCAGAATTGACAGGTCAAGAAC